ATAATATTTTTCAATATCTAATTTAAAACAATTTTCAGTCTAATAAGTATTAGTAAATAATGTTAGTAATATTAGTAAGTCATTGAACAAGAGGCTCTTGTTAATGAGAATAAAACAAATTAACAATGTATAATGACTACGAAAAAGTTGACAGTTCAATAAGTTCACAGTTCATAGTTCAATAAGACAATTAACAGTAATAAAAAAAATTAAAGAATCGCTCAATTAATAGGCTTGATCAAGAAAGGATCTGGAAATCCCTGACATTTTCGCAAAGCAGATCGTAAAACGCATATGCCGTCTGTACCACTCAAAGTACAAACCCTAGCATATGTTACTTAAGCGCTTAAACGATGGCTTATGTTGCAAGAACAAAAAGGCGTGCAGCTAGGAAACATTGAAAAGAACTGAAAATACTTTATATTGCGTGTACATTTGCCAGTGAGAGCACAGACGCTATACAATTCCAGGAGTAAAATTTATGAGCCTGACTAAAGTGGCAAGTGACACTGGTCTTTTATTTGCTTTTCTTTTCTCTTTCTCTCTTTCTCTCTTTTTTTCTTTTTTTCTTTTTTTTTTTTTTCTTTTTGCACTGATTCATGTATACATAGTCTATTACTAAAGCACTGCTTATCACGAACATGACATTTATGAATCCCATTCACAGTGTACCTCGTAAAATATCTTTCATATATTATACATATATTTATGTACATGTACGTTCATACAAAAGAACACTGCGATTCATGGAATAAGAAAGAATAGAGAATTGCATACGAACAAACCATTAATACGTTGTAACAAAATTTTGATGAATGTAAACTAATATTATCATGTAATTTAGTAAAAGTTTACTCTTTCAAATAATTTTTCTATTATACATTTCAAAAGACTATAGTACATCAATACACTATAGTACAGTATATAAAGCGTTCACAGCATCAATAGTACATAGGGGAATAATTCAATATGAAAAAATAAGTCGAAAATAAAGAACACAATTTTTTTGTAAGATGTTTCGTTTTCGAGAAAATCGAGTTTGAAAATTTCGGGGGTGCTGAAATTTTAAACATAACAAGAAAGAATAATTAACAATAAATTAATACAAAAATAAGTAAAAAATGTAGAATAAAATTTTTTTATTCAAAGCTTTATTTTCAAGAAAATAAACTTCGAACGTGTTTCGTTACGAATTGCCTTAGTAACTTGTAACGTAAGCTTGATAAAATTTGATTTTTTCGAAAACGAAGCTTTTATAAAAAAAAAATTTATTCTACATTTTTGATTTATTTTTACACATAGAACAACCTTCTATTAATTATTCTATTCTATCAGATTTAGACTTAAGTATATACTTGATACATTTTCAAACTTGGTTTTCTCAGAAACTAAATCTCATGTGAGAAAATTTTATTCTTTATTTTCGACTTATTTTTTATAGTAGAATCATCGTTTCGCCGGTTGTGCTATCGATACTGGGACATCCTGCTTACTGCAAAACGTCTGAAAAATATTGAACTATTATTTTACTAATTTTAATAATAATTTACAAAGTAAGTCATGTTTAAACTATTAAATTACAAACTAAAGATATTTTGTTAGAATGCAATGTCCATTTTGTTGTATTATTTGCTTTTATTTACTTTTATACATACCTAATATGTCGCTTATAACAATCTACATACAATAAAATGTACCATATGAAAATGAATGAAATCTCATTATCACACATTTTAAATTCCATCACACATCTGCTGTGTTAATTCACTGTTCCTAAAATATTACAAATGAAATCAGGCGTTTTAATAAATTTCAATAAACTGTAACTATCTTGACAGTTATTTGAAATAACTTCGTTGAATAAAATTTGTTATTTCTCTTTTTACACGTCGTGTATCAAATTGATTTATATTTTTTAATTAAGAACATGTATTATAAATTTCTCGGAATTTTCATTTTCTGCAGGCTGAAATCCTTCACGCTACAACATTTTATTTCAGTAATTTCGTCTAAAAGCATCCAACGTCTAAGTATATAATTTATTAAGATAAATGTACTTAATCGAAAGACGATATTGCTTTGAATAATATTGATTCCTGTATAAAGAATTGTTTGATCGAGTCTTTAGTTTCAATTATTGCAGTAATAAGGCGTAACCATAATCTCCTTCACTTTGTTTTCGTTTATCCATTTTCACTAGAATCAACAAATAGAATTCTATTTGGAGGTAAGATTTCACTGAAAATAAGTAGTTGATAAATTGATTAGTACTAATATAAATTGATCAGTAGACGAATGTTTATGCACGTGAAATATGAAAAAAAACCCTGAAATTTATATAAAATATGTATGACAAATTTGCGAGAAATGTATAGAATTTGTGAATAATACGTTATTTAACATAATTGACATTACAACATTTAATGATTTTTTCATATTTGCAAAATTTAATTATTGATATTTATTAGTTATTATTTAAACTGGTTAATATTAAAAGAAGAACGAGGGCTGAAGAACGTTATATATCATGTATATAACAAGCGCATGTTTATATTTATTATACAATATTGTTGTACATAATTTAGTTATACTACGCTGATTTTTTTTAAACTGTATACATAGTCATCTATAATAGTAATAAAATAAATATAAAATAAATAATGCTTTTATAAATATTTTATGCCTTTTAATTAAACGTAAACCATATGCATCATGCATATAATTATAATTACATATAAAAATATATTTTTGCACGAATATTCGCAGTCTATTAAACAGAAATACGCTAAAATTCTAGGTCCAAAGCTCTCTATCATGAAATAATTATTATTAACAAATAACATTTATCTTCATAGTTTTCCACTTAGTTACATTCTCTTTATATTCCATTTTATATTCAAAATTCTCTTGCAGTATTCAATTAATAATCTACAAAGAAGAGATGAAAAGACAATACGAAATAAAAAATTTTTTACTTTCCTGCAACATTGTTTAACATACTTTATTTTGTTTTTATTGTGTTTCCGCGATGTATTCTGTTATATTTGTGCATTCTACATTTTTTTCAGATATATGTGTGTATATATAACGTATCAGTATTAGTAATACCTGTTAATATTTTTAAAACTATTAAAAAAAAACTTCGAGTGGTTTATCCGATAAATAAGAATTTTTTTTGTTTGTTTGAAGCAAAATAATTTTATAAAACGTGAATCACTTGAAATATACCAAATGACTTTTTAAATAATCCCGTGAAAGTAATAATTGATTAATCTGCAATCTACTTGGAATCGAAAAGTTTTGAAAGTTGTCGTTCCCATTTCGCAACACTTGTCGATTATGAGACACTTTAATTGGAAACACTTTTTCACGTTTAACGCGTATAACTTGATTTTTTAAAAGATAGATTGTTTTAATAAATCATTTAAACAAAAAGTATTCAAAATAGAAATATTAAAATTAAAACAGAGTTATCTAAATCATATCAAATGATTTCCTCTTTCTTAGATAAAATATTTAGAAATTAAATTTTTACTTCGCATATGCCGCACAGAGTTATTTTAAACAATTATAAGAGACTGGTATGTGTTTTGATCAATTTATAATTTTTAAGTGATGATAATTTAACACAACGATTTTATTTTGCATTTTGAACTTTTTTATAAAAATTTATTGCATTGCATTTGTAATTTTCTTTTATTATTATTGTTATTTATATTGATGTATACAAATAATAAATGTTTATATTAACTATTACAAGAAAATTAAAAATATTATATTTGTAAATTTTAATATCGAAAATATTTTAATGGAATTAATTAACACATTAATTTTTATTATTTCCACTTATAAAGTTATTTTAATAAAGATATATTTATCGATCAATAACTAAGTAACTAAATTTCAAAATTATTTCTTTTATAAGTTATTTTATAAAAAGATTTATAAACAACAAATTAATTTTTGAAAAAGATCAAACGCACAATATGAGATGTCTGAAGATGTATCAATTTTCAATTTACGATATTAATTTATATACGATTTGTGCAATGAAGAATGAATAACATAGTAAATACAAAATAATGTGATTCTGACAGTTAGATGCAATTTTAAAAAAATTAGCATCACGAGAAATTTTTTTCAAATTAGATAAAACGTGATAAGTTATAATTTAAAATTAATATATTTTTTAAAAAGATGAGGATGATTTAGTTTATCAAGCCTGTTTTATCAAGAATGTCAACGTAAAAGACTTATTTAAACATATTCAAATACTCAGGTGAGATTTTGATCTATAAGAAATATTGGATTATATTGTTTATATCTTTCAAATACGTGTAGTAGATTTTTCAGAATTGACAAAATTAATTAATTTCGTCAAATGAGGAATAAGAATATTTAAGACAGCTATTCTTTCAATTTAAATTGATTTATGGTTGTTATAAAACAACCTATAATAAAAGAGTGAAATCACACATAAACAAGAACGAAAATTTCAATAGATATTCTTTTCTATAGATTATTTATCCCAAAATATTTCGGTAGTAAAATCATACAAATTCATTATTTCGTAGTATAAATATTCAACGATCAGAATTTTTCATTTTTGTAATGTATGCGTTAGACGATATAGATTTGCAACAAAAAGTTTTTTTCAAAATCTCTGACAAGCGTTGCACCGAATCAATCGACGTTTCAAAAATCTAAAATGTTCAAACGCTTTCATAAAATTTTATTTCACGTTGGAATAAATAGTTAATTGTAGTATAAAGTTCAGCTGCAGTATACGACTAGCTTTTCTTTAATCGTGATTTTGTCGAAATTACATCTCTCAGATTTGCAGCAAAACAGTAAAACTAATCGATTTAAATTAACGCTGTCAAAATTTGCAGAATTAATACGTTTTCCAAAAAGAAAAAGTAATATAAAGTAAAATAAAAACACATTTTTATAGCTGAAAAATCGTTAATTTACCAATTCGCGCCCCTTTTGATTTAAAATTTATTTATTCGTACAAGGACCTTCGTTTAAAATCAAATTGCAGATATATTGCAAATCCTCAACAGAGTAACTGAAGTAACTCTTCGAAACGATATAAACGAAATTCAAGCGATTCATTCTTGATATTTCATTTTCTATCTTCGGCAAGAGTGCTACATCTTTTCCTGTAAAATTTTCAAGCTACCTGCAAACACCACAAATAGTTAGATACATTCGTCGATGTTTCGATTCGATTTCAAGGAAATGCTTGAATAGCTCGAATGGAAATGAGACGGCAAGGCAAATTCATAATTAATTAGGGTTACACGTTTTTTCTGTCGCGATATTCCGTAGCCGGTGCGGATCGCGGTTGCCGCGCGAAAAGGGCGTCCTTTATCGATTCGAAACGATTTTAGAGGGTGGTTTGCCCCCGACGTTTTTGATTTGAGCATGCATCCTCGATACGAGTCTCGAGGCAACGCTTCGCCGCTTCGAATTAAGGGGTGAACCGAAAGGAGTGCCCTACCCTGGGGTCGATTCACGGACAAAACAGAGAAAGGGAATAAGAGATGGAATCGCGAAGAGTAGAACGGAGCACGGAGAATCGAGACAACACGAGAATCGAGAATGGAAGATGCGGAACGGAGGATAGAAAGACCCAGTCACTGAAACGAAACGAGAAACCAACCTCTTCGTTATATTTATTTCCTCTGTCGGTGCGTGACCGAAATAATCGCTCTGACTAATCAATAAATACAAATATAATTGTCATGCTAATATACACATAACGTATATATGTTTGTAATCAATTTTTCTTAGAAACACATTGAAGAGCATAACCGAGTGAATAATAATGGAAAATCGTCGATCATTCAAACTTGATAGAAAAAGATCATATAACGATCCACTTGATCTAATTTTAACACTTTGGACGGTGGACGTTATGTGTGCTCGTCACACATGCGCATACTTGACTTTGATTGAAGTTAAAATTAATAGAAATATCAACAAACGAAAATATCTATTAACACTAAACGTATCAAAATATTTCAGACATAAATCATATTAATTTAAATGATAATCAAAATAAACAGACCTGTACAAGAATACTCGTACTTTATAAGCACTTGTAAAAAAACGATAGGCTGAAATCAATTGTACTGATGAACTCGATTATTATAGTGTCGGAATAATAAACTCGTATAATTACTTATAAAGCTTCTATAATATAAAATTTCTATATTCTAGTAAATAATACATATTTCTTACGCAACTGTCATTTCAAACATCCCGCCAGAAAAATGTTAAAGCGTGAAGTTTCTACTTTGACAATCACGAGTTAACTTTTTCTTCGATGATGATTACATTACGTAATGTAACACGACGTAAAAGTTAAGACGAAAAAGTGAGGATACTTTCCTCTCGAAAACTGTAAAAATTCAAATTTAAAATAGTGTAAAAATAATTAAAAAAAATTTCATGATTAGATCCACTATGATCTTGAAGATTGAAATCTCTTTAAAACTATTTTAGACATTAGGACTAAATGATTTTCTTACGAAGTTTAACAGTTTAAATTATCGATGATTTTTTCATCATTTGTTTGTTCAGTTTATTTGGTACTTTTGATCCAATTGATTGCTTAATTCATTTTTTATTATATACTTAATTATATAATATGTGCGTATAAAAGTGTATATAAAATATAAAAAAATATATATTATACTTTACAGCTAACAATTTGTCATTTCATAGCGTTGAAATATTATACTATCATTTATCATTGCAAATACTATAATTATCAATTATATTTAATTTAGTAAAAAATACGCTAAAATTTTTTAAGACTTTTTTTACTTTGAAAATTTTAATATCAATACCATAATACAATATATATCATAATTATATGAAATTGAAACTTTTAATACTTTTATTTCATTTTAACATGACATTGAAACGTTTAATATTTTATATTTTATATTTTATTTTAAATTTATAAGAACAATTTTATTTTAAAAATCAATAATTTATCAATTGTTCTAACAATTTAAAATTGGAAGATAAAAAGTTCGTCAATTTGAATAAAAATACTAAAATAATAGAAATAATAGAATCGTTAAAAAATGAAGATACGTTTTATTTCATAAAAGCAGAGTTCCTTCTTTTAAACATATTTCTATACCTTTGTTGATTTCAAGTTTGAAATTTCATTCCCCTCAAATCAATTAAACAAGAACTTCTTAACTATTTCTAAACTTTTAATCTAAAAATTCTTTTTCGATTCACGTGAAATAAAGTAATAATACTTATATATTATCTTTATAGAAATAGAAATCAAATCTTTCATAGAATTCACATAGAATTCTCTGATTTCAGAATTTGTTTGTCCAGGAAAATGTTTTGAATGAAATATAACCATGGATGAAAGAAGGTCGTAATGCTATACGTACAAATGAAAATGTTCACTTTGTCGGAATATGGACACCCCTTACGTTTGAAACATGGGCATTCCTCGTCCTTTCGGTTGTAGGTAATGCGACTCGACTTACAGCTACGAGACAATGTGCAACGCGTTGAAATAAGCTACAGCATTCAGAAATATTTACAAGACACGTATATACGTATAAATATTGTAACAAGATAATACTACAGCACCTGAACAAAACAACTGCACCTATGTATCGACACATTTGTGGCGAAATTGAAAAATAAATTAAATATTTTTCATAACAATAACATTTCGACGCACATACACATTATTTTTGAAAAGCTTCGTGATGGCTTTTTCAAAGAATTTAGCTTCTTTAATAAATTTCGAAATTGTTTTTGCAGGCTTGTAGAATGAATTTTTATCGTAAAACTTTTTCGTAAAAATAAATAACGAATGAATATTTTGTCTATATTTAATAATTTCCAAGCTGCTGTTAAAAGACATTTTTTTCTGAATGTTCTCTATTCCAATTTAAATATAATATTTGTTTGAATCCAACATTTTTGTACGTATTTGTTACGAAAATAAATTTGATAGAAATTTATAATAAATAATCCTCTTCTAATCTTTCCAAATACAACAATTGTCAAAAATGGTACAAACTTTCCGAACAAGTCAATAGTTCAAGAATCAATTTGATTTTGATTATGAAATTTAAACTGTTTTCAGCAGAATCATACACATTATGATAATGTTATAAATAATATCTACATTAGCATCGTGTATCTATTATATTTCATATTACACTTTATGCAAGTAAACATTTCTACATACACATGTATATTTCAACGGTTATCTCAATAGAGGTAATTCTAGATTTCAAGCAAATATCACAATTGTTCAAAGAGATTTGGAGTTGTAATGTAATATACTCAAGTTTAAACAGTAAGATGCTCAAGGTTGCATCTCCGAATCAGATTCAAAAATATAATAAACATAAAAGATAAACACTTGTCGCTGAAGCAATTGAGCACAACCGCTAAAGTTACTTTGCATTTTATTCTCTATTTTAATGAAATATAGATAATAAATATATGAATTGTATATACAAATAAATTAGGTATATAACTCAATAAATTAGGTATATTTATACCCAAATAAAATATAATAATTGTAAATTGTAGCTTCTATTGTAATTTCAAACGTTAAATCGTTAAATTTGTAGAATGCACCTGTTCCTCTTGTTTGGTATTTGTAAATGCATTAATTCTTTTCCGACACAAACGACTCGTTTAACGCGAGTCGACATCTTTCTCTTAACTCGTTATTGTCCGTTTTTACTAACTTTCGTAGGTTGATAAATTGAATTTTCAAGATATTCATATCTATCATAGCGCTACATAAGTAAACTACAGTAGGTACATAAATAAATTAAAAAATTGGTTAAACGGCTACACGAGCGGATCGCAAGCCACGCGGAAAATCGCTGCGAATCGTCGATCAGAAACAACTTCCGTTCTCCTCGGATGTGATTTTCAGCGTAAATTCCAACGATTTTCAATTATTTCGAGGAAAGCAACGGTAAACGGTTAAACACATACTTCGCGCGTGTTAAATGTTAAGTACACACGCGTTACGCGGAAACTGCGGAGGATGGAGAGGGAGAGGAAGGAGAAAGTATCAGCTCGTCGAAGCTCGTTCTAGAAAACGAAGTTCGGTCCCGCGTAATCGAAGAAGCTTGAAACTCGAATCGGAACGACGAGGCTCCAATTGGTGGCAAGCCAGGGCACAAAACGGAACGGAACGGAACGGAACGGAACGGAAACCGAAACGAAGTAGGCACGTAACAAACAGAGTAGTCGACTAACCTTTGCATTCGTTGGCATCTCTGGCGGTGGCTCGTGCCCATGGTCGATCGAAGTGGAACGGACGGCATCTCTCGCAGTCTCTGCCAGCGGTGTTGTGCCTACACTCGCAGGCGACCTCGCCGTCCTTGCCTTGGATGCACCTTGCCGCGTGGCCGTTGCACTTACACCTGCCGCCGACGGCGAAGTCCGAGACCGCGTAATGATGAGCAAGCGTGCTGGTGCCGAGATTGCTCGCAAGGGTGCTGCTGGTGCTGGTCGAAACGGTGACCGCCGCCACCGCCGCCGCAGCAAACCCGCCGCTCTCACCGTCGTCGACCGCGTCGTTCGATTGCATCTCTTGCGGCGCGATAACCTGATGGACCGAGGGCAAAGCGGTGGCCAATGGATCCAGTAAACCACCACCAACACGGGCCGAGCTTTTCTGCTGGTTCTGCTTCAATCTCTCCTCTCTCTCCCTCTCGCGTTTCGCCAATTCCTCAAGGCCGAGGCCGTGATCGTCGCCGGTCCCGCCTAGCTGCAGAACTTGTTCCTGCGACGGTTGCTGGGGTATGTGAAGCCGATTGAAAACGACGCGAACGTCGGTGGCGGTAACCCAATCTTGGAGAACCGGCGAGTTATCAAAGTCGGAGGCCGACGGTCGGCCCTCGAGGGTGCTGAACGCGATCCTGCCGACGGGCGCGAGGCCGTTACCACCGGTGTACCGATGGCTGTCGGTGCATCTCGCTTCTTGCTCGTTCGCTTTGGTGATGGTCGCCCGATTCGGCCTGCCGTACACCCGTCGACACTGCGACGAATAGAACTGGAACGGTTGCCACGTCTTACCGTAGTCCATCGATTTGTAAATCGCGATCGAGTCCGGCTTCGCTGCCTTCGGGCAGAATTGCAGGCTGACGTAGGTCAGTTCGTACTTCTTTCCTAGGGAGAGGGTCAAGGTCACGTTGTCTGGCGGCGCGGAGAAACTCTGCGACGTGACGAGCGGCTCGCTCCGCCAGCAGGTCACGTTGTTCGGGTTGCTTACATCGGTGAGGTAGCTCGCGGGGAATCGACGCCGCGGCGTGCTGTCATCGCAGATGTGGCACTGACCTATGCCCGTGCTACCACCCGGCTGTTCGATCACGTCGCAGTACCTCGTGGGCCCGCCGCTTCCGCAGGTCGACGAAGCCTCCACCGCCGCCCCGAACGCCGCGTTCACGAAATTCGGGATGCATCGACGTGGCCTGTCCTCGTCGTAGCACGGATCCGACGGATGTTGCTGGCTCGGGAACGTCTTCGCGTAGATCTCGCTGCCCGCCAATGCGTTTCCACAGTCGAACAGAATCACTCCGCAGATGATGATTCCGAATAATCGCGCCACTCCACCGACTATCTTCTTCATCTTCGACTATGTATGTACGATGTTCCTCGCGCGCGATACGATTTTTTTCCCCCCTTTCTCTCCTCCTCTCTGTCCAACCCTCTCGCAGCCTCTTGCTCTGTCACCTGACGCACAAACCGTCCTTGTTTCGTTCGACGAAATTATTTCCTCGCTCTGTTCTTCTTTGAAAAAGGAAGAACGACGAGGGTAGCGATCCCGGTGATCCTCCGCGTGACTACCTTCGATCCTAGCGAGTTTCGAATCGTCGATCCTACGCTTCTTTTCTGCTCGTCATATCGGCCCATTGGTTAAACTTTCAAAGTGTCGACCATGTCCATCACGAAGCCATCCACTTTGATTTTTCCTCCTATTCGCATTATACGTCTCGAAGGGCTCGCGAAAATAAACGTTGGGGGCCCCCCCTCGTCAGCGAACCGCGCGTTCCCTCTTCCAAAGCTCAACTTCTCCGTTCAAATCACCGTTGCGGCAACATTCGCGATGCGATTAACGAATTTTTTTTCCAACGTTTTTTCGACGATTCCACGGGCTAACCACAGCTTCGATATGTATTTCATCGAGTGTATATACCTCTCAGGTATATTCGATTTTCAAGCAGAATGTGCGTGTCAGTTTCATTCCTAAGCAAGCGGTGCAATTGCAACGGCTTGGGAGCGCGTGCGCGCGTACACGCGACGGCTACGTTTGAACATAAAACGAGCGTGTATCTCGGAAAAGCGGAAACACGATGCACGATGCGCGGCACGCCGCTCGATCCAAACTAGCGCGATGCGATGGCCAAAGGAAAACAAAAAAAACCGACAATCAACAATCCTCCACCAACGGCGGCTCGCCGCTAACTGAATCACCGTCCTTGCACGGTGTGCATCCGAACTGTTCCGAGTCCCTCTCTCTGACTCGCACTTCTCCCCACCTCTGCTCTTCTCTCGCTTAACCGAGTCTCCCTCTCTTTTCGCTTTGACCGCCGACTCGCATCCTCTCATCCAAGACCAATTCCCCTTCGGCCAATCCGGCGACGCCACTACTCGCCACGACCCCACTACTCGCGTTCCGCCACACTGGATCGAGGATCCAGCAGCCACGCTGCGCTACCGGAAACCAGCCGACCGCTGGACCAGCAGACGATATTCTCTTCGCTCCTCTTCTCGCTCTCTTCATCGCCTCTCTCCAGCTCCGTGCATTCACTTTAAGGAAGATTCGGCCCGACGAAATTTTCGGAGGTTCTGCGCGAAGTTTCGACCAGAATCCAGTGTTAACTTCGATCGAGTCATTTTGCTCGGATCCCGCGCAGTTATCTGAAAGTTATCATTTGTTTTTGTCATTTCACGTTGACCGTTTCAATGAAATTTAGCTACAACCATTGTAAAAAGGTTCTTTTTTATTATAGAATATCACGTGTAATGTTGAGAGCATGAGTGCAATGCATTAAAAGAAGTACAATTATATATGACTTTCTACTCGGATATGCATAGATAAATAATAATGACGAAATATTCTATATATTTACTATACCTATATATATATATACCTATATATTTACTATGCATTGCATTATCGGAATTTCTGTGCAATAAATTTTTATTAGTATGTGAATGTTAATAAAACATTGCAGTTCTTTGTGCTTTTTATATCTATATTCTACTACTATTTTATACCTGATTAATAACTAATTCGAAATATTTCTGACTGAATATTTTCACAACACAAATTATACGATGTAATTAATTTATAACATGTGACTTGCATTTTCGAAATGTCATTTATAATTTATAATTTTTGTACTAAAGTTACAAAATATGAAATATTGCAATTTAACACAATGTATAATACAGCTAACGAAAGCAGACTATTTATATTTATTTTGTGTTATAAAGTAAATCGGAAAGTTTTGAGTAAGTTAGAAAGTCAATTGAAAATCTTCAATATAAATACAAATATGAATGAAATATAATGAAATTAATATAATAAAATGCTTCAAACATTATACGTGTTATGAAAATATCTAGAAATGGATCAATATCTTAACAACAAAATATTTACTAATTAAACAAATCAAACAAATATGTCAGTGTATGTACAATTTATTTTTAGAAGTTGTTAATTCAAAATTTAATTTAATACGAATAATTAACAAAATCTTTCAAGAAATAATTTTGATGAAAATGTTTTTGTAGGAAAATTTTTACACTTATATCACACTTTGATAAATTATGTTTTGTAGTTCTCTCTTTTCTTCTTTTTTTCTTTGTATGTATCTATATATATCTATTTCTATCTCTATCTTGAGCTACTACGAATTAAATTTCGATTTTCAAGCATTCATAACTTTAACATTAATATTTTAATATTATTCTGCACAAAGACAATTTACTTTGACAAAAATAATTATTCTTTTTAATTATCGTAGTTCTATGTTTTAAATTATTTTCAATATTTTCTGTTTATAAAAGTAACTTTATTTTTACTGAGATTAAAATTCCTTGATAAATAATAAATATAAGACAATAGTATATCAATTTTAGCATAGGTACATATTTACATATATATATAAATTACTTTAACAATGTATCTATTTTCAATCAAACAATATAGTAATTTTATTTTATTGATAAAAGTTCGCACATATTATTTCACGTACAATCACGAGGTATATGAATTCTATCATGTAGTTCGTCTGTGGTACAACATTACAATTTATAAAACTAAATATTTTTATTTTTTTTTTTAATGATTAAATATAGTATAAAAATGTATAAATATAATAATAATTTAATAAACTCTAAAGTATAAAAGACGTTATCTTTTACATTATCTACAGAGCTGCAATTTCGATAGCAAAAATTTGCAAAAGATGATTTTACTTTCTATTTACTAACTTGATGTTGATATTCTCATAACTAAAAGATCTTTAAAAAAAATGATAAATAAAATTAAATTTATAATTACATAAAAAAAATAACAATATGAAAACAAAGTAAAACAAAGTTATTTTATTAGTTTTTCCTCGTATAATTGGAAATACAATATTATTAAGATATTTGGTATTTACTTATCGTAAACTTGCTCATTAATCTATCAATCTTCGAATGAAATTGAACAGCATTACTTATAACTTCCTTCCTCGTCCACGAAACTACGCCATAAATAGCAATTTATCGCTTCGTAGCAAATAAAGTAGAACAGCACGAGACGAAATTTTTTAGAGCCACTCTGTCGTCGTTTAAAAGAGACATGCCCCAAGAAACAAACATCATAGCAAAGTGGAGAGTACAGTTATAATTTGGATAGGTTGAAATTAAGAAAAGAATTCGCGGAATTTAACGTAGGGCACGTAAGGAGACGAAGGTTCCTTTTCCTTTCCATCGATTCGATGGGAAGACAGGTCTCTGGTGCGTGCATGGATTATGGAGCGGGTTCTCCGAGGGTCTATTGGTCGAATTGGCGAGCGGAAAAAAAGCAGAACGGGAATGCAGGAGATACGACGTCGAAAAGCAAGAACAACAACAAGATAGAAAGAGAGAACACAGCCGAAGCTTCCGTAGACCGTCACGCGATCTTTGCCGATCCTTGAAGAAAGTCTCTCGTTAGTTTCTACAATCATCGCGAATTAAACAACCGCTAATTTTTCAAATGAACTCATGATCCTGCAAAATCATCGGTCAAGGTAATACTTTGCTTAAAATACTGATTCCGTTGCATGTACTTCTATCTTTTTGGTCTTTACGAGTCCGATTAAATTTTTTATCTCTCTACGTATAAACATTGAATATATATATATATATATTATTTACATTAGTTATAATGCTGATATCATTTTCTCAAATAAATTAATTATCTTTCAATTGTATGTCTGTTTAATAATGGTTAAATATGACTTGCATAATGTTTGATTTATTACATTTCATCGCTATATAAATTTTATTAAAGAAATTGTATCATGTTTACAAATATTATTCAAATAGTAGTAATTTCAAAATATAACTGTTTCTAATTTTTTTTTTTTATTTTTTGTATTCTTGAAGTTTTTGTTTGTTGTTGTTTGTTGAAAATTAGACGAAAGTGATATAGATGATTCTATTGTCAAGTCTGTATTCAATGCATGTCAAAACATTCAATAAAAAGTGTGCAGAAAATTTTCAGAAAGACATTTAAGAAAAAATGCATTTTGTTCCTTAATTTTCTTTTGTATTATATATATATATTATATATAACTTATACATACTTTTCTATTATATATCAAATAATAATATGATAATTGCTATATAATATACATTGATTAGTGGCTAATTTATGTGAAAATTATTTTTATTCCACTGATTATTATAAAAAATGATTTCTCTTTAATGAACATCTTTAATAAAATGTAATCAATCCGAGAACTAGTAATTTAATTATTTATGTACAATAATAACAATAGCAATATGTAATGTTGTATATTTTTGTAAATAATGCATAATATATTATATTGATTAAATTTTATTAATTTTTAGCTTTTTCTTATTAATTAAATAAAAAATAATGGGAAACAAAATAAAAATTTCGAGATTTTAAATTTTACAAGGCAGGTATTAGTTCATAGTTGGACGTATAGTTTAGTTTATATTAATCAACGAAAAAAAAAAAAAAAAAGTGTTCTCGTAAGGCCGTGATGTGTACGATAAACGGCATTCGTTAATCGAATTAATGTAATCTGAAGGAACAGCTAGGCGAGCACGAGCGAGCGTGATGACATTCTGATCTTTAGGCTTTTCGGCTTAGCTCTCTTGGTTCGGATTAAAACTTTAGACCAATCGACGAATGACCAATCCGAGCTTTCGGAATACCTTTTGTTTAGTCTCTTTTTCCTCTTTCCGGACGTCTTTCAGAGAACTTCCGGAGCATTAAATTTAATACCACTGTGTGTTCTTTCTTTTTCTGTTCTTCCACGACTTGCCTAAGTTCTTCTAAATCTGTAATTTCAATATTATGATCAATTGAGAAAGCATGAAGCTGAAGCATGAAGAATTTTTTACATAATATTCCAAATCTACTAATAATATAGTACTGATATTTTATGGTACTGCTACTTTGTATTTACAATTACTTTAAAATTACTTTGTACGTTTGAACTCTGATAATTCGAATTTTAAGGAAAAAAAAAATCGAATTATTAAGGTTTCTTCTTTATCGAATTTAGAGCTTCCTATAAAGATTAGAATTCACTTTATTATAATTTATAATTTTATAAAGTTGGCAATGAAGATTATTAAAGTTTATATTCCGGAGAAAAGAGTGAAAAAACAAAAGAATTATATTGTTCCTTAAGTCATTATTTTAATCTATCATTGCGAATTGTGTATCTATCATTGCATTATGTAAACAAGCGTATGTAAATTATTACGAAATATGAGCAATTACACAAACGCAGAGTAAGTTCTATTGACTTACAATTATTTGCGAAAATATTCGAGCGTATAAAAATTTTTTTAGATATGTATTATAGTGTTACATCGATTAATTAATATTATGTATATGGCAATTTAATTAACATCGTAATGAAATCCAACTATCGTGATTATATTAATCAAGTTTAAAACAAATCCAATTGCTCATTATATTAATAAATCTTAATATTGGATGGAATCATCTTTAACACTTATTATCTGTTTAGGATGACTAATATTATCTGTTTAGGATGACCATTTGAGCACTTCGAATGTCGTTTTAGTGCATTGCGAAAACGATTGCAATATATTAAAATTAGACAAATATGATTCGCTGACAGACAAAGAACAGTTCAGGATTTCTCGTCGGTATAAAAAAATTTATTGTCTTACTGATAAATATCGCGTACAACGATTCATTCGTTTTTTGTACTGACAAAAAGTTCTAACATTTACCATCGCGGCTATTGTATTAGGAACGTTTACCGTTATCAATTTCGATCGATCATTCATCGTCGGGTCTGTTTATTTTATGCTTTGTATAATCAGCATTGAGCCTTCGATCAACTAACCAACTCTTACAAAATAGGCTCGCGGGCAGTGAAGGATTATTCTTAGTCCTCTCGTTAAAAATCATATCAAGAATTAACCTATCTTTCGGTAATCGAGATTTCGGTTACGGCAACATACAGTTCACTAGTTATAGTTTTTTTGGAATCAAGTTTCGTGTCTGCACACATTCGCGCTCGATATCACTCGAGGCCTCGACATACATATATTATGCTAATTTTATTTTTTTTTTTATTAATTTAAATTTATACTTTTGCAATATATTTGTATAAGATATTTGTTAAAACTCCTATATACATTTTCAGATTGGTTTTCGAATTTTATCAATACACTCATAACAATCGTTTTTCTGTGTCAATGAAATTTCCAAATTTTTTATAAAATGCGAAATGATGTGAAATGTTCATAATATACATGAAAGTTCCTCCGTGATGCCATTGAAACAAACTTCGAACTGCAAAGGCTACACTTACTCTGATTTCGAAAAAATAAAATACATTCTAAATATCCGACAAATAATTTGTGTTAACGGAAATCTATATTTTAATTTGAAAATGCTTTTATAGTGGAATGAAAAAATATTTATTTTAGAAAGGTTTTCGAGTTATAACGGTTCGACTGTATTAAATAAGTTGTTAATAAATAAAGATACAACATGATATTGTTATAAAATTCTACTAATTTTTGCTAATTTTCACAAATATTTTTTTCAATACCTATTAAATTCTTCTATTCTACGTAATAAATTTATATCACTTTTCAACAAAGCTTTGTTCCATTTAAAATATATAAACAGTGTTGAAATTTTAATGTGTAATGATTTTAAGAGTATTATTTTTAAATTAGGAAGGAAATAAAAAATATATAAACAGTGTTGAAATTTTAATTTCCTTTGCTAATTTAAAAATACTCTTAAAGCCACTACATTTCATTTATTTTAAAATATATATACGACCAGTAAGAATTATAAGTTTTCGAAAATTAAAAATTTTCATTTTCAAGTAAACGTATTAATAGATAAAACTTTTATCTCAAAAACGACATTTAATGAACAGTGTAATACAACTATCTTTTTGTTTTCTTCCATTTCGTTCAATTTGTAAGCATAACATATAATAATAACACTTTTGCAATAAAACATTTAAAGTTTTAAATTCAAAATATTATTTCTAAAAATATTTCATAGTTATTATTATTTATCATAGTTATTATTAATTTTTCTGCCTTTAAAAAACAAAGATGACATTCCAGTCAAAAATACATGTACAAAATAAATATAATTTTCAGGCAGATAAGACAAATTTTCGAAATTTGTTGCTGGCGCATAAAAAGATTATAACAATTTGGAAAAATTAATATTCAATTTTTAAATGCATCTCCCCAAATTTAAATAAAATACTACTTTATATTTATTAATTTTTCAACAAATGTGCATTTACAGAAAGTGTAAAAATATCTACTAAATGAAAAAGTATAAAACAAATAAAAAATTAAATAAACAATGTTTAATATTTTCAAAGAAATAATTTTAATTTTTATATCAATTAAGCACGTATTAAGAAATATTTAAGAAAATTTGAAATTTCTTTGATCTGTGAAGAAATGGACATTCCGATGATTAACTGTATTTGATACATTTAAACAGATTTAAAATTCTTCCCTCTACCAGATAGTCCATGCATTACAAATAATAAATATATATACTTACCTTCCACTGTAATTTAATAAGTTAGTTATAGAAATATTTCTATTTCTGATATATCAAAACTCACAATACTTTTTAATGTTTTTTTCTTAGTTTATATTTAACACTTTTTATCGTATTTATCAAGCCACGCATTATAATTATTGAAAAATGTTTGAAAATTAAATGTCTATACGTTCCTTTAATTTTACTGAACAAATAAAACACTTGAAACGCTCGCCATTATTTGTCTGTTCAATATTTACTAGTGAATTTGTATTTTAACGATTTTAAATTGTTGCTATGACAATGTTTTCGGTGATAGTAATAAAAATAGTATTGATGATCACTTCGTACAATGTTTCTCTTTTTACTTCTGGCCCCAGCCGATAAATTTTATAAACAACAATGAACAGAAATGACAAAATATACAGAGTGTTTCATAACTTATACATTACTTTTATTATAAATTTTGAACGTGTATATGAAATAGAATCCCATATTAATCCTCGAGTAAATATTATTACAACAGATATATTATACCTATTACAATAATATATTAAGCATTTTTATTTTTAAGTAGTCCCATTTTGTACGATTTTCTATATTTACAAGCAACGATAACGTAATGACATTAACAAATCAAATATAATAAAATAACAAAATAATTAAATATAAAATAATAATAATAATAAAAATTTTTTGCATATCTTTGTAAATTAACATCTCTTTGAATAATTTAATTCTTTTCAAGTGTTAAAAGAAATTTAAAACGACGTACTTTTCATATTTGCCCTATGCTTGAAGTAACGTGTCAAATCGAGGATTAATAAATTAACAGAGTTATCTCAATGTCATTTGACAATTGTAAAATTGAAATAACTTGAGTCATTATTACATCCTGTTTAACTAATTAGAAGTTTATGCATACAATTATGGAAAAGAAAAACGCAATCAAATAACCACAAAATATCTATTTATGACAAACTTTTGACAGCTATAGTTAGGTACTATGTACCAAACTGGCAAACGATTTCGTTGCAAATTAAAATACACTTAGCATGAAATAATGGTAAATACAATCGCAAAGTATATACTAAAATTTCCTACAAGCAATTAATTTAAGCATGAAACACCCTGTATACAGATAAATGTCAATTGTACTTTAACCAATCAACATTTTTGTATAATTCAAATTTAATAGAAAATAATCTGACCAACAATTTCTTAAACATACTCTCTTTTATACGTTAAAATTTATTCGAAATTGTTGCTCGGACTATTTTGAACGCTATTAAACGATATTTAATTTCAAATTTTATCGTTAAAATGACCGAGAGTAATAAAAAATTATTATTCTCATCGCGTATGCCACAATTATACGTTCAAGCATATTAATCAGTAAAAAAATAAAAATACTGTAAAGCACCGTGAAAGAAAAACGATCGACTTTGATCGATTTTAAGGTTATCGTTCGTATTTTAAAAACTAAAGTCGAACAAAAAGTCGCTATCTATTAACTTTGTGTATTTCACACTGACAATACTCTAGATGCTACACAATCGTGAGATGTATACTTCGCTTAAATTTGTTCATGATCTTTGATGTTTAATGTAAAACTTGCCAGATATATATTGATTATATAAAACAAGTACACGTTTTTCGTGACACTGAAAAAATGTAAAAGGCATATACAATTATGGGACAAATTAACAAAAAGCTGAAATTAACAAAAGCGAATCGAAAAAAAATATATATATATATATATAAATTTCGCGCAAAGGAATTAGCAAACTCTACAATAATGAGAGTCCATTGAGTTAATCGTTTGCGAACTGCAAGTTCTATTTTGATTAGAACGAATACCAAGTCTTTGCACACATGAATCATATGACTATACATACTTAAACGATTAAATTTTTGGATACGCTCGATGTAAATTTTTCGGCTATGTTAAATGAACAGAGGATATGCAATATTTTTGTTTCATGTTTTTTTTTTTTTTTTTTGTGCAATGTTCCCACATTAACCTTCGTTAAAGTATATCTGTATTTGTTTCGTTTGCGTTACGAAGAAAAGCTGTTGGTTCCCTTTTCTTCCTGTCTTAGATCTAGAGAAAAATGCGAGTTACACATTATGTCTATATGTTATGTGGCTCGACTTTTGAACAATTTCTACCATCCTGATAAAATGCATCGGCGCATCGTAGTCACATACGTGATAGAATCTCACTTATGCAATAAAAACGAATATAAAACTATTTTCAAAACGATCGAAAAACCAGTGTATGATGCATCTACATGCGCCGCGTTTCGTTTATGTTGCAATCATTTTTATTTATTTAGGCTCACGCGTTATCGATTAAAAACGGAATATATAAAAGTAAAACGTGTAACTTAGTTTTTCTTCCATTATACGGCGCACGATGATACATAATTTTTCATCTACGTACACATACACGTAGGAAATGCCAACATGATTTTTTTTACGAGTATATGAATCGTATTTAAGTAATCAATATGAATAAAATAATATTATAGTAAGGTATATTATAATAAGTTGCCGTAAAAGGATCTTGAAAAATGAAAAAATGATTTGATATATTATATAAACTTTTTTCTTTAAATGTGTTCCTTATCCATATTGTAATTTTTAATTATTTTCTTTTTTAATTTCTTCTTTTTAACGTCTTGCCATTATTATTTTCGCATCGCACACACGCATACACAGACAGGAACAATCACGGGCGCTCACCCCTTCCCCTATCTATACTAGATATAATATTTCGTTCTATCGGAAATAACTTAGTATCTATATCCAATATATTAGATATTAAATAATAATCGCATCATCAATATATTAATTTTAAATAATATAATTTCTAACAAAACACCCGCCACTCAACAAATAATCAAAAATATACGACAATATTCTTATTTGGAATTTCAGTAAAAATAATTATGTTCCTAAGGTTTCTACTCATTATTATAAACTCTTGCGTAATATAATTATATTATCGGCTAACGTAAGGTTTCTTGTAATTCATAAATACATTTTTGGCATACTACGATGCGATACATTGACTATACGCTAATGAATAATATATGACTCGAAATAATAAAGATACAAGAGATTATTATACAATCACATTTTCCCTATAAAATAGAGATTGTGATTCTAAAGAAGTTAAATAAAACGATAATGTTCATTATAAGAAATGTACAAGTACGTGACGGGTTAGAGTATATTGTTTAAAAAAATCAATATCTTTCAACCAAGAAGTTGCAATAAGAAAAATATAATTTGAAAATACAATTTTATTCTATGCGGTAATCGAATGTGAATTAGTATTATTCTAAGATAATTCGAATCACGTATCTTTTTCAAATAAATAATAATTTTACGTACTCGATGAAATCTCTGCTCTCTCATTTGAAAGCGTAGAAGGGAATAAATAAATATTTATAAATTTACAATGGAAAGAGCTCTTAAATATTTTTTGTGATATGGCAGTTTACAAAAATTGAATTTCCAGAATTTCCAAGAAATTTTAAACTGCTCGAGTACGCGAAGCTTACGGTTTCAATTAAATTTCAATCAGATCAATTCCATTTCTCAACACTCTGTTATAAATGACCGTTATTAAAAATGAAACTTATATTATTTTTGTATATTAAAATAATGCGTATGCATAGGTCTCATGAACCATCGCAAGACAATGGAAGTGTTCTCCCGTTCGGTGTCACCTTTCGTCTTATTCATAGAACACAGTGCATACATTACTATTTTCACTAGATAGTCAAATACCCTAGGCGTTTGATTTCTACCTTGAAACTGTTCGAAGGTCCCCTCCAAGAAGGGCGCCATAATAATACATAGTACATATATGTATTCCCAATGTGAAAAATATTCATTTAAGTGTTGTAAATACTATCTCACAAAAAATATGGTTCTCTATATAAAATTGTCAAATTCTATTATCTCCCTAAAAACATGTTCCATTCGCGGTAAAACAACCCGTATTGATAAAATAGTGATCGCACCAACAGCTCTTTGACATACGAGTGCCGGACTTGCATCAAATGCTATTTTCATTATCAAGCTATTACAATATTGCATTATCGCAAACTCTTGATTATTCATTTGAATACGTCATCCATGGTACCACATGATGAATTCTATACACTTTTTTATGCTATCTTCCATCATAGATTTAGAAATATCAGTTTCAAAACGTTCATTGTCAAAACTGATAAACAATTCAAAACTTTTATCGTATAAATTGAAAATGTAGAAAATAAATAAAGCAATAACATCTATAAGTATGCATAATAATTAGATTAAGACAATCATATATGTTTTTATACTAAGAATCCAATGTTTCATTACATACTGAGAATCTAGTTTTTCTTGTGTTTCTTAAAAATGTAAAATTTTATATGAAATATACTTTTCAAAGAACATAATTGTATAAAGTAGACACGATACAAGTAAGAAATTTTATGCGTACTCTATAACCATTAATTATAATAATTAATTGTAAAAAAAAAAAAAAACACAAATCTATAATCTATAAATCGTCTATATATGTATAAAGCTTCAAAAATTACTAAAAATGTTAATGAAAATTATTGATCCTTAAAATAAAAATAACTTGATCAATATGTTACACTTGAAGGGAGACCTACGTCCAGTTTCAATTTATGCAGCAAACTTTGTGCATTCCATTGGTTCCAGTTCAAAGCGCTTTATAAAAAATCGAGTCATCCAGGATTCTTAACAAGTTTTTTGCCGCGATAATCATAAACGCGTCGACAAAAGAGAACCATATCCGATGGTACTGGTATCGGAGGCTGCCGATTTTCTCTTGGATATAGTTGATCTCCCGGTGGAACTATTAAACCGGGGCTTTCTAATCCTTCCTCGATTCTTCGTAAATTTTTACGATACCTATAAATTATATTAAAATTCATGATATCTTATTTTTTTAAATCTAACATTTCATTTTACGCAAAACATTCAACTGCTGTACTGAAAAGTTATATTAATTGAAAATTATATCCATTGAAAAGTAGTTTTACATTCTTATTATTATTCAATCCGATTTATATTATTAAACTTTAAACTTTGAATTTTTGTAAAGTATACAGGGTGTTTGCAACAATAGAATTTATTGCTGTTAAGTAGGTTAATAGATAATGATACTGATAAACATTTTAAGAATATTTTTTTTTAAGTCAATTCAAAATGTCTTTAAGCATCTTAAGAACGAACCGACATAATTTTTTTTTCATCGCTTCGAGATAAAATCAACAAATGTTGCTTATAAACTAAATATATATAATGACAATAAATAGGTAGAAAACATTAACTTACCGACAATACTCATTGAATGTCAAAATATAACATTTATCTTCTATACAAGCAACACTATTTGCATCCCGATGCCGTGAAGCGAAGACTTCGTCTTCGGTGTCATATTGAGTTCTACCTTGCTCGGTATGTTCAGGTCTATAATACCATAGCAAAGAAAACATCATTTCACCTATAACAAAACTTGTGTTTTTTTATTTAGTTTAAATTTACTTCATTATTTTAAGAGACGATTAATAAACGACATTAATAAACAAACCATCGTCTGGATTTTCCCATAAAGCAGCAATTTTTGCTACGAATGGTAAATCTGCTTTTCGTGGGCCACTTTTTAGTAAAACACAATCACGAGGTCTTAAAACATCACCACTTTCATGTTTCATGCTCGCATAACATCGACGTATAGCTGATTCTTCGTTCTAAGAGAGATAATAAAATAAATAGAACTGTTTCAACATTTTTATATCATGAATAAATCGTAATTAATTGTAATATGCTCTTACCGTTAAATAAACTTTGGCTTCAAATGAATCACCTTCCCAACTCCAACCATTACTCCATTTGGGCTTTAAAAATGTTTTTCTGGTTAACATTAGGCTTTCACTTCCTACCACGCAATCTTCAACTTTAGAGTTAGATTTTTTGACAGGCAGTTTTTTTGTACTTTTTCGCTTCTTTTTTATCAATGCTGACTTCTTAGTAGATTCCTGAATATCATACGCTTTAGACTTTATTGTACTCTCAGTTTTCTTCCCATTATCTTTTGTTTTTACTTCGCATATCTTAGATTTCCCTTTCCCTTTACATTTATTTTTCTCGTGTATTCTTGATTTTGTTCGTATTTCCGTTTTACTTTTATTTTTGGTAATTACTTTTGATAATTTTTCTGATGTCAATTCTTTCACCAAATCAACTTTTTTAACTACTTTTTTCACTGCTGACAACAAATTTACGTCTTTCTTTTTTTCTAATTTTTCAGCACTTTTATTCTTACGATCTCTTCTTTGTGTCATTTGTAAACTCTGTTGAATAACATTATTAATAGTTTCCATAATGGAATTATCACTGGCAGCATGCTTTAAGCAGTTTGGAATATTGTTACTTGTACTTTGTTTAGAAGTTTTTGACTTCTTCATTACATTTTCGGAACAATTTGAATTCTCTATTTTACGTTTTTGATTTTGATTATCCTTTTTAGGTTGTTTTTTCTTTGAAATTTCATCACTGTTGTTATCAATGTTCTTTACAAGTGATAAAATTGGTATAGAAATTTTAGTTGAAAAATCACTGTTACTAAAATCTTGTGAAGAACCAACAGAAAGAGTTCTTTTACTTACTTTCCTCTTTTTTCTACTATCAGATAAGCTATCTAAAGATAATTTTCTCTTGGATACTTTCTGACATTTTAATTGTTCATTCGTATCAGATTTTTCTACACTTTCTTTATCCACAGTTTCTTCAATAGTTTCTTGCACAGTTGGCTCATAATCAGGTTTTTTCCAATTTTCACTATCAACTGTAACAACATCGCTTAATTCCTCCTTAACATCTGGATCGACATCCAATTTATCATCGAGTAATATTCCAGAATCTTTATCAATTTCCAAAATAGCCATTTGACCTTCCTTCATACATTGTTCACATTTCATAATATCGCACTTGTAATCTGATTCACACTTAACATTACAATTTGCAACACAGGACAAATTATCGCCCATTTCTACACTACAAGATTCACATTTCACATTATTATTTTCCAACTTAAAATTGTGAAATTTATTACTTGGGCACATCGTTGCTGCTAATTTTTCAGACGGTGAAAGTGTTTCTAATTTCACTTCACAGGTTGATGTACATGCATGTTTCTGACATCCACATTTTTGTAATTTATCTTCTGAACAATCTTTTTCATCCTAAAACAATTGTAATTATATACAAATTATAAATATGGTATGTTAATACATCTATATTTTATAAACTTATAAAATTATTGCATGTTAATATGATTATTAACTAATAACAGATTTAAATTAATTTGTAATTAAACTTTAAGTAAATTGCTGCTCAGAAATCAACTATGATATTCTTAAATATCAGTTACTTTCTCAACTATTCAGCGACAAGCTGGAGCCTCTTCAGATATTATCTAACATGCGATAACATATAATTGTATCACAATTGTTTTTTAGGATCATTTTCAGAAAAGACTATGAGATATTTTTATATGAATTTAAAGTATTATAATTTGCGCATTGAAACTTTTATTCATTTTTTAAAATCCTCTATTCTTACAGTACATCTACTAGTGAAAACTATTTCATCATAAAAGAAGTTAATAATAGAAAATGTAATAATCTAATAATAATAAGAAACAACGAATAAGTGATTAATAACTTACGAGAACCATCCATGCTTGAAGTTATAAAGTATTCTGAACGTGACACAAACCTTATTCTTACAATCCGAATTTTGCGGGCGATTATGTGCACCGACTAGATTGTGAGACGAAGGGACCGATGGTTGGTTCTGATTCAGGTTGCGATGAGTGTTAAGTTGGACGCGATCCGTATCCCAGGCATTGGCACCGTGAGGCGGCGCTAGCCCGGCTAGCCCCCTCGCCGGCGAGGGCGGACCTACCAAAGCACTGGGCGGCAATGACAGACCGGGCCCCGATACCACTGGCGCTCCCTTACCATTACCAATAAGGGGCCCAGTATCCACGTTTTTTGGACAAGACTGCATCGGGCATGGGCAACCTTGGAAGGCTGCATCTAAAACAAATCGTTACTTAGACTAAAACTTTAGTCTGTACATCCGAATGTACGGCCCACATCGTTGATCGAGATGAAATTCCAAGTGTGTTACGAGAGATATAAGAGAATCTCTAAATAGAAAATTTTAGCTTCGGAGATTTACCCACACAGAATAAGACATAAGTCTTACAATTTAATAAAATCTACCATATGAAAAAGGATGTCTTTCCACTATCAATTAGCGCTATATAAAGACAATATAACGGAGATAAGAACATCTAACTTTCATGCCGTACGTTAGGTTTCACAAAATTCTAAGGCCTATATATAAACCTTTCAAAAGGTTTCAATTCCTGAAATTGAAATTTTATATTTGGGGTCACTCACGCCTCTCGTAACATCCTCCAATTTTGATCGGCTATCGATGTAGATCATTCGGCAGAATATTCAAAATTTAATATTATACAACTTGTAATAATTTTATAGGAAATAATTAAAATTCAATCAATGTGTTTAATGATTGTATAAGAACATAATTGAACTCACGATCTACAAAAGGTCTTCCCTGAGAATGCAAGTATGCCGGATTGGGTGGTGGAGGAGGTGGTGGCGGAGGTGGAGGATATGCTCCATAATATGGTGGCAGAGGATATTCACCAGGCGGTGGTAGAGGTGGTTGATAATCAACAACTGCTGGACCTCCTGCAGAACCACCACTACCAGGACCGCCACCTCCACCAGATTCCTGATATCCATAATACTGCCTGAAAAAGTACCTTTTTTACAGTATATTATCAAAATTGAATAAAATCACAATTTTGTTAAAATAGCATAAAATAATACGATTGATATGTCTTACCTCCTGTACGTTGGCGCATATTTATAATAAGGCGGTGGATGAGTATGTGGATGAGAATATGTTGGTGGATAACACAAATCTGCATACTGCGGTGGTGTGCCATAGTATTGAGGACAATATGCTCTATAAAATCCACCTCCTAAAAAAAGACAGTTAAACATACATGAATAAACTGATAAACAATTTAAAATCTTTCAAATTATTTTATAGAAAATTTGTAACACAAATTTGATTTTGTATAAAAAAATTTTTGTTTGCATTTCATTAAAACTAAAACATTTGTGTTAATTTTGTAAACTAATTAATATTAATTGTTTCATTTCTATTATATACATCAAGAACACAATTAGTAGAACTTTTACAACTTCACAACTTCTAACCCGGGATTACCCACCTGGGGGTCTAGCGCAGGTACATCCTCATGGGTAATCCTGGGTTAAAACTTTGTATCTTAAAATTTTTACTATATTATATATATCAAGAACACAATTAGTAGAACTTTTACAACTTTACAACTTTTAAAACTTTGTATCTTAAAATTTTTGCTTAAATTTTTAGAAATTTAACAGTTCATATAAAATATATTTGACTTCAAAGAAAGCATTGTAATATTAATTTCATTTCTCAACAGTGTGACAAATGAAGATATATATACATATTGAATATATATATTTATTTAATTTTATTAGATCTACTTAGCATCTTCCATAAACGTATTTCCATCGAACATTTCGTATTTTTCATTTTTGTTAAAATTCAGTTTTTAAGCTATAATTTAGGCTGAAATTTAAGCGTTAATTTATAATTAATGAAAATCAATGCTAGTTAAATATCTTGAAAAATATGAAAATGTAAATATTAAGTTATAATATTACACGTAAATATTGAGTTAGTATAAAATGAGTTAAGAAACAAGAACAGTAATGTTTGCACGAATTATAATATAATAAAATAATTATAATATAACTAAAGAACTATATAAATTTAATAATTTTACCATGTGACATCCTATTTTATACATATTGTAAAATATACTATATTACAGGTAATTAAAAATAAGATGATAAAAAATAATATATAATTAAAGAAATAAGAATAATAATTAATAATTTACAGTATATCTGACAAAAGTACGCCGGTGATATTTATGGAAGTTGATAACTGATAAAGAATGGATGATAATTTATATAGTCACTCTGAAGTCACCTACACAAGTTGAGACATATTGTAATACATATATCAACTTCAAAGTTCCAGGATGCAAGTTACAACGTAAGTATGTATCCGCATCGGCTCATACATACATCGTCCTAGTTGATAAGCAAGTCATCAAAGGTTGATAACTGATGCGAAATTGCTGAATTTTGAAATTGATATGTACATAGTATCATGTTTCAGCTTGTGTAGCTACATAATATAATAAATACAGTTAGATAAATATGTACTTGCATAAGTTTCCATAATTGGTTAATAAATCACTATAACGTTAGAAAAAGAATAATAACAAGGACAAATAATGTCGATGATTTTCAGACTCAAATTTCAAAATAAAATACCGCGATTGTACTTCTGATTTTTGTATAAAACTTAATATTTTCGTAATACATAAATAGAAATTTTTTTTTTTTTGTAGAAAATGCCGATCAATAAATCAAAAAATATAGCATTCCATTTGAAAAACTGAACATGACGTTTATTTTATCTCGACAAAAAAAGTAAAATAAAACGATTACATTATATGTGTTTCCCTTTGGAAACCATATAATTTTTGTTTATAACATTTTTTCGGATTTTCAATAGTTAAAGAAATAATAGCGTGTAACGAATAAATCATACTGTATAATGACTGAGCCTTTAAAACCTGCGATTTTCACTTGATTATATAATTTTAAAATACTTTTATTGTTTGTTTCCTAAGCAACACGCAGCCACTATCCTTACCACGTTCCTCAACTAACATTAACCTTCTTCCTGAAACATTATATACATCTATATACTCTCTGTATTTTTCTAAATTTTTTCAATCCATATCAATAAATCTTTGTCGGAACTTTGTCGGAAGTTTCTAACGATTTTAATAGTCCTAAATGTAAAACTGTATTTGCAAACACTGATGGAAATTCAATCGCCAGTTGAAAATCATATTCATTGTGCGCAAATTATTCACAATAAAATAATCTTGAAATTAGTAGTCTGTTTCCATTACACAAGAAAATTGTGATTTCAGAAGTAGAATCTCTTTCCAAGAAAGGGGAAATATAATTGTATAATTATATAATCATATAGAGATTTTGACTTTTTTCCAAATTTGAAAAAAAAAGCAAATGATAGGAAAAACTATTCCCGAGGTCACAAATTACGCTTAATAGCACTATCACTATACAGTAATCGAATTTCGTTGGCGTTCGACAGAAATCAAGAAGAAAATCTGTTAACAACTATAGTCGTCCAACGAGTCGAGTCAGTAGAATACTAAGCGCGTAATAGATGCAAGGGTCTCCAGCTATTGGCTGACGAACGGAGGCTCAAGAACGAATTTCATGAGTCAGCGTTAGAGCTTGCTTTAAGTATTACGGTATCTAAAGGTTGTGCGCCTCCTCTCACAATCACATGCGCTTGTTTGCCTCTACTAACTCGAATCGTTGGACGAGCTATAGATATATCCAGTTAAATTTTGAAAAACTGCGTTTACGATATCGATTCAATTGCAACGAAAATCATAAGTAGAATTTTAGAGATGACACACAAATTGCAATTGCGCTGGTTATACAATAATATTTGCTATTTCCGTGAACTGGTAAGAGAATATCGAAAAATTTACCAAACATGAGATATTCTAATGCAAATTCACAGATGGTGAGCTACGACAGTTTTTATAAAAATTTTGTTCGTAATCCAAAAATAATAAATATTTGAAAGTGTAGACGCGAAGAAATTTCGGCTACGTGACGGAGATCCGATACGTGTTGGATGAATGCCGATGCGCATGAATAAAAGAAATTGCGGTTTCTAGAAAAGATAAGACGGTATTATCGGAACGAAAAATTAGGCTCTGCGAATGTAACTTATTTACATTGTTGAATGTAACTTATTTTTTTCTCAATTGTATCAAAGAAATATAAAACAATAATGCATCTTGCTGTTGATTTTAACTTGTAAATTTAGTACTAAATTTTTTTATATAGGAAGCACGACTATAACAATAAATAGCATCTGCATATGAATAGGTATCCACATGATTCATAGAATTGGAGTTCTGGCGAATGAAACGTATGAAGACCGTAATAGATACATTCACAGGAATCTATACATTTGATTCCTAATGACATATTGAGTTTATCGGAACGCTAGTTCTACGCCCACGTAATTAAAACAATCAATCTTATCGTTTGTTTTTAAATCGAATTAACATTCATCCACTAGAACAAAGTTATTTTTCAATCAGATCATCCAAATTTTTGTATATATTTTCATAATTTTGTAATAAATCAAATTCCTTCAAACATCAGTTGTAATATTTACTATCGCAAAATAGATAATTACAATAAAATATTTCTATCGTGAAAGTTTTACAACCAATGAAAGATACTCTTTTTTTGTAATAACATAAAATCAAAAATTAAAGATCTAGATGTCTAATTCATTTGAAACATTATTCTATTGTTACTTAAATATGAAAATGCATAAATAGCATATAGGAATAGTCTACTTTGTAAACGATAATTTTTCAAATACTTGCTCTGGAATACTCGAAAATGATTCTATTACATTTGAGTTTTCCAAAATAGATCATGGTAATAATTTATTGCACTTTCTATATAATCATTGTTTACATTTAATTTATAAGGAACAACCATTAATCCGTACAAATTCAGAAATTATTTTCTTTCTTCTTTCATTCTTTCTTAATTTTAACAACCAATTGAAATTAAATTTCATTGGTGTTGTGGCAGTATATACACCGGAAAGAATTTTGAATTAACATACTATGAGCGGTTGAGATCTCTCGCGTTTTTTCTTACGCTGTAAAAGGCTGTTAACAAAATCTGGTATTTAATGAGAAACAAATTAGTCAGTTAACAAGAAAAGTTAGCGAGAAAATGTATAATATGCAATATGTTAATAACGTCTCTTGCGATATTGAAGAAATTTAAAAATTATTGTTTTCCTCGTCATTTTCAGCATTTTTGAATCAGAACTGCTTATGTAAATTTGTAAATCAATTTCAATTTGTGTATATAATAAAATTGTGTAGTTCGTCATGATCGTTTCTTAGTGTTAATAAATTTTTTATGCGTATATTTCATATATTCTTCATCACCGACAATCTTTCTTACCAACATACGAACAGTCAGAATATAGTTAATTTCAATATGTATTTATAATTAACTTGTACGACAATATTCATTTCAATTAAAATTTTCTATTGTATTAAACTTGTATTAAAACTACTTGTATTAAAAGTTGTATAATCTTTTCTCTTTTAAAAACTTATTAGGAATGTTCTCAATAGTTTTCACTCATTTCAAAGAAATTCGATGCAATAAATGATAATTTGTTATGTGAAATAAGATGCATGTAACTTTAGCCACAGATTTAGAGTTTTGGAAAACATTACATTCAGATATTAGAATATTAGAATATAGATGACTGGAAAAGATCATTCAACAATAACTTTAGCAGAAAGAAAACTCGCTGGACTAGAATATAGCAGAATTAATACAAAAAATATCAAATAAAATTCTTTTAGAAGGAAACAAAAATACAAACTTGCGAGCTATTGCTCCAAAATTACAGGATAAATATATCCATATCGAGCTACAATATCTCCAAAGAAAGAAAAAGAAAAAGAATTCATAACCACTTACAGAATTAACCAACAAAGAAATGAAGAAAGATTTAAAAAGAGCCATAATTAATACACGCAATACAATAAAAGCGTCCTTACAAAGCGATACAATATGGCAACTGTCCAAACGATCAGCGCGTTCGCCCAAAAATATACTATTGTGGTTAACTATAGGAATAAGGAATCCACTCGATTTCCCAAGATATCATAACGAAAAAGAAATATCAGATTCAATGGAAGCAAATAACGCACTCAGTACTACATCAGCGCAACGCAAAAATCTATCTGCACTAATAGAAATAATAAAACAAATTCGAAATACAAATGCAGAAAAAATCATAACCGCAATTAAGTAACACCACTAATACTTTTCAGCAGAACTCGGATATTAGAGAAATACTGAAAAAACTGAATATTACTCGTATGAGCCACTACTACACGACTAGAATAACAATATATATATATATATATATATATATATATATATATATAAAATACTGTTATTATATACATGGTGTGGCATGTAACTGTCGCCAGAATTTTTCAGGCACTTTTAATTGTGTGACAAAAAATGTTTTAAACAAAAATTAATCAGTTTCTAATTGGGTTTAAAGTACAAAAAAATTCCAAAAACTTCTTTTTCGATAAAAAAAAAAATCAAGGTCACATTGATTTTTTTAAATGGCACCGTGCATTTTTGACTTCGCAGGATTGTTGCTTCTGAAAAAACGAATTCAACGACCTACTATACTATGACCTTCAGATATCTTTGACCTCAGAAATTTAGGTTTAGTCAACAGAAATTGTTCATTGTAAATTTTTCATTTTAAATAATTGTTAATTACACTATATATTATAATATATAATATATTATATATTCCATATATATTCTATAATATATAATATTCTATATATTAATATATATATATATATATATATATATATATATATATATATATATATATATATACATCAAAAATATACATTTTACAATTCATACATTTTGATTTTTCCCCTACTTTTTGATCTTTTTGAATTGGACAGCCTTTGGACACTCGAACTGTTCGAGCCACGCAGTACACGTCCGGCCGCAAAACGATTTCACATAGCTTTCTACCGGTGAAAGAATCCTCTCCGAGCCTAACCGTGAAATGGCGATTCTCCTCGCGAGAGTCTGCTCGTTTCGGGGTTTAGTCAATTTTTCAGGGCTTCTTTTTGCGCACGGGTCCCCCGCTTTCTTTTCCCCTTTCTCCCTTTCTCGGGAGAAATCGGCCGGAAAGTTTTCGGACGACCGCCGCTGCTTTTCAACCTCGAGCCCCCGCTGAGGTCTCGGAAATCCTCTCCCCTCGGACTTCCTTTTTCTCTGTTCGTTCTCTCGGCGAGTTCAGAGACACCGAGAGTGTAATTATTTTTCAAAGCCACTGTTAAAACAGGATGCCCGGCTACCTTTTCAATTTGAATTTCAGACTGTGACGCGCGTGCATTTCGTCCGTCCGAGTCTCACAGGTAGTCTCGACTTTTCTCCGCGAGATTTCATTTGTTCGACGAGAATCGGAAGTGGAATGAGATTGATGTTAAATAACTCGCAGAAATCGACAATTGAACAAAATCTACGGTAAACCCGAAATCTAATCAACAAACCTTCAAGCCTGTGAACCAAGTGAACGGAATCTAACTAACAAATCTTAAATATAATTAAAATTTGCGAAGCAAATAGATCTGCGATTAAATTGCATTGAGTAGAAAGCAATCTTTTGCCTGTTGGCTTAGAACAAAAAAAATTTTCTACTCAAAGCAATTGAGTAGAACTACCATTTCCCTAATTAACTTCTACTCCCGTCGCGCTTGGCAACCGACTGCGGACCGTAACGAGTGACCAAACCGTACGCAACAGTTCGTCGCGTTTCTTTTTGAGCTCGTCGGTATGACATCACTGGACAGAAATTACTGACAGGTAATAAATTTATTATTCGTTTCACTTAAACACACTTAAAACTGAGAGAACATTACCAATTTAAAACAAAAAATTCTCGATTTGCGTGAGACTACGTGGAAAAATGGTAAAAGCAGCGGTTTCAAGTTCGATTCGGGAAAATGTGAACGTTTTTTTTTGAATACCTTCGAATGTACTCGTTCGATCGAGAATTTTATGCGAGGGGTGTTGTCGAGGAGATACTTGAATGAGTCTCAAAGTCGGATGACAACTTCGTTCTTCGATCGATCTTCCAGTCTCGTCGTTAGATAATCGCGCGCGTTCTTTCGTCGTCAAGAAGGAAAGGGGAGCCGGCGTGTCGATCAGGCTAAACCAGATTCCACCTTGCAGAAGATCCCGCGACCGGTTCCCGAGAGGATGGATCGATCGATGGATCGTTCATTCGAGTGGACGTCTCGGCCACGCGCGAAACTCTCGACTCGTGACGAGAACTGGAAAAACCTCTCGCTATTTCTTGCCAACCCCTTAAGTCTCTCTCTGCATGCAAGCAACGCGACAGATGAATTTTTACGATCGAACCAATGATCTTTCAACAGTTAAGCTCTACAAAATCGAGATTCATGCGTAGAAAATGTTACGACCGAAAGAGTGGTACCTGAGTAATCCAACAGCAACGTATTGACTAAGGCTTAACACCGCTTGCGCTGGTAACTG